TCAAGTACGTATATAAAAATACTTATTATACAAATAATTATGTGATAGATATCAATAGTATTAATAATTGGACGCTGAAATATCCAAGTATCAAATTGAGAAAAACTTAACATCGAAGATCAAAAACTCGGCGTGCCTTAAGTTTTTCTCAATTTGATATTTGGACATTTCAGCGTTCAATTATTAATATTATTGATACTTATCACATAATTATTTGTGTAATAAGTACTTACATATACGTATTTGGTTTATTATATTGATCTTGCTTCTTTTTTAATTATAATTAATTTAAAACATCTACATTTTGATTAAGTTAACATTTACTTTTCATTTTGTAGTTTTTGTTTTAATACGTACTCGGCGTTTTTTTTCTTTTGTAAATTCATAAATATTTATTTTGAATTTTTTTTTTATTATATAAATATTTTATAAATATTTTATACACACACACACACACACATAAAGGAAAAAAATATCAAAATCCTTAGTTAAATCAGAATCATTAGCTTTTTTAATATAAAAACTGTGTTTAAATAAATATTTGTTTGTTTTAAAAGTAAATAAAGTACAAGTAAATCATTTTATAAATCTAAATAAATTATTTTCTAATATGAAAAGTATCGTTTTTGTATTTCAAATTAAAGTTCCTTTTATTATTAGAAAACAATTTATATATATATATATATTTAAATTTACAAAATGATTTATTTGTATTGGATTTACTTTTAAAACAAGTAAATATTTTTTAAATATACTTTTTATATACTTTCTAAACATACTTTTTACGTTTGAAAGAACCTATTCTCTTCTTTAAAGTAAAATTTAAATTGAATTAAGTAGCGTGAAACAATAAAGTGAAAAATTTAAGAAAAATTCAGGAAAAAAGAAAAATATATTTAAATTTACATATTTTAATAAATATTTTTATAATATTTATGATAAATATTTATATGATCTATTGAATCTAAAGTCACAAAAATATTTATGAAATATTTTGATAAATAATTTGATAAAATATTCAAATAAGTCTTATAAATATTTTGTAAACGCGTTTTATAAATATTTTGTACTATCTGGGGCGTAACCACAACTTTCTACGTGTAATAAAGCAAAATTTCTGCGTAATAGTATGTTTATCTATAACAAATGAAGAAAGTATCCAAAACCGCGTATATTCTCGTGAATAGTTGCAATCTTAACATAGTTTAGCATTAAAACTTTTCCTTTTCATGTAATATCTCTAATTTAGTTCTAGTTTCCATGTATTTTTTGTCGTAATTAGTTGTAGCTTGGCGGAGTTGTTATATAAAAAGTTGTAGAACTTTTTCCGCCAGGGATCTATGCTCACATAGGCACTAAGGAAAAAATACTTGGTATTTGTAACTATAACTACATAGAGAAATAATTATTATAAATAATAAGCAATAAAACAATAATTCTACTAATAAAACTATAATTAAACTATGATTCTATTATAATATTAGTAACAATAATTTTATCATTAATATTATGGTAGAATTTACTAAACCAATAGTTGTCTTAAACATAATTTATAATAATTATTTTTGTTATTATAGTTACAACTACTAAACAATTTTCGTTCAGTACAGCACACTGAACTTTAATAAATTTAAAAATCAAGAAGGAAATATTAATTAATTTAATATATTTTAGATTGTTCCATATTATTTAAGAAATATTAATTAATTTAATATATTTTAGATCGTTATTTATCCTAAAAATAGGATAAATGACGAAATTTATTGGAACTTTTTAATAAATAACTTACCGGAATTAATGGAAGATATTCCTTTGGAGCGTCACAAAATAATCTTCTAAGTATGACGAATAAGCATAACGGAGTACCGACTTATAATGGTATAAACCATCGCCGATTACTGCATCAAATCTTTTTCAGAAAGTGAATTGGTCGCAGAAGCCCACGATGTTGGTCATCAAGATCACTAAATCTTACTCTATTAGATTATTCTTACTTAGATTACTCTATTAGATTCTTTGACGACACGTAAAGCCCGTTCTACAATAGCAGCAAACAATGAAAAGGGGTAAGTAAAAATAAGAAATTGACTAATCATAGTTGATTATTCTTGTTACATTCGATTGTAATTGGTCAATTACTTACTCTTATTTTTTACTTTTTACTACTTATTACCATTTTAGAATAGGCTTAAAAGAATATATTTTCAAAGAACAATCGTGAATAATTAGCAGAACATATGGTGGAAGCAATCATAAATATTGCACCTGATATGATTTAGAATGCTACAAATAAATAACTTATTAAAAAGAAAAACTTTTAATAACTTATTAAAAGGAAAAGTTTTAATGTTTTAATCAATTTAATTCAACAAGCATATCGAGCTCGAAAGAGGATATTTTGAATATATATTGTAATAATTTTTAAATAAATTCTTTTTTAAGACAAGTTATAATAAATTCTTTGTTAAGACGAATCTTATAGTATGTGAATTTAGTAAATAACAAATGATTCTGAGATATTATCGATTTGCTATTACTAATAATTGAATGTCAATACGACTATAACATGCTTTTAATGCATGTACGGTACATTCAAAACATATTATATGCTCATTGGGCATATCTAATAGTCATATCTAATAGTCTTCTAATATATGAATCGAACGATCTTATGTATATATTTTTAAATATTGGTGTTGTACAAAATTTCCTATTTTATCTGCATACTGAGAAATTAGTATTAGTATGGATAAGTACTGTGATCACACAATATCTTTGATGACACAATATCTAACATGAACGAAGTCAATTAACTTGTCATGCAACAGCTTCACATGTTACCTATGACAGCTCCTTAGACATTGCACTCAATATTCTATATCATTTTTATATGTATATTATTATTTGTATATATGCCATACATTAATTATTCGTATATAAATGTAACTCAATCACCTATGGCGATTTGAATGCAAAAATATTTCTATTGTTATAAAGAATTGGAATCTACAAGGACACCTGTATATATTATCACTGTGCATTATACCATGCCTGAGTGCGCAAACTTTCAGTTCTGTGATTTGTTCATTTGAAACGTTTCTTATTTAAAAACTATTATAGCCTCGACATTCTGTGTTAGAATTTTTGTTTCTATTTGAGTTCAAGTATCCTATTATATTAATTAATATCGCAAAATATCCTGTGTATGTGTGTGTGTACATACATACATATGTGTGTATGTGTGCGTGTATAAGATTTATATAGCATTTTTACTAAAGATGTTTAACTAAATATAGTTTAACTATACCTTTTCCTCTACCTGACTAGATTTTAACATGCTCCTGAGCTTTTCATTATTTTCGAGAGATCTATTTAGTCGTATATCACAATTAAATGATTGTTTATGTGATATCTTTATTTTTTTATTAAGATTATGTAAATCCTAAAAAAAGACACTTTTAGTATGATAGATTCATAATCATATATATCAATAATTATATGTGCGTGCATGCATGCGTGCGCGTATTGTCAGTTCGTTCCACTTTAGTTTTGACATTCAAATATCTTGAAAAAGCAATTCTGGAGAAAAATCAAGCAAAGGGTTGTAAGACTTTTTTTCCAGCCATTCTGCATATAATAATGGAATAAAAGCATTAAAAAGTAGATATTTGTTAAGATATTTTACATTTTATATCAGCATTCTTTTTAACATAAGAAATAAAATATCTCATAAAGTATTTATTTTTTGATAACTGTACATTCATACTTTTGCACTTAAAATAACGTGTGGAATCGATTGCTGTAAAAAAATATAGAAAAATATTCAAAAAAGTTTCGTTGCATTTTGTAGATACATCGATACATCAGAAGAGTAGTATCATTGATCGATTGCTCTCTCTCTCTCTCTCTCTCTCTCTCTCTCT